GATCAGGGCATGCCAGCGCCAACAGGTGCGACAATTGCCGACAAGGTCAAGGAGCACGAGCAACAAAGGACGGGTGCCGCTAGCAACGACAAGGCGGATGCTCTCCCCTCCCTGGGCCACCTCCCGCTTGGCTTTGGATGCAGCCCCCAGGCGGACACGAGAACGCTATCGGACCTCATCATGACGCCGATGGGCATGAAGATCCCCGAGCGTGCCAACACCACCATTCCCATCCTACGGATCCGGGACGATCGGTTTGGCCTCAAAGCTGCCCAGAGCCAGATCTACTCCGCGCGGTGTGACACATGCCCCCAGGGGGCTCCGCTCCTCGTCTGGAACGCAGGAGCCCCGCCCCTGGGCTGTTTCATATGGAAGCCTGCGGAAGGGATAGGGGTGCCCGAGCAGGCCGGGCTGCCCCCCATCGACAAACGAGCCATAGCCTGGTGGGAGCGCAGATGCAACGCCACCTGGTGCTGTCGACGCTGCCTGGTCCCGGTATGGAACATCGGTCCTGCTACCCTGGATCACATCCTGGATCGGGACTTTAGAGCGCTATACCCAGCCGAGGCTCCTGTCCTTCCGACGCTCAGTAGCCAGATCGGAGCCGAGGTATCAGTGGACATATTTGAGTCTCTCCCATGGCTAGGCGCAGACGCCAAGGCCCAGGATCGCTTCACCAAGGCCGGAGCGAGCACCCCCCCTGGGTCTAGCGCCGCGGGTGGTACTGCTTCCGCGGCAGAGCGAACTCCCAGGTCCCTCGCACAGCTCATGGAGCTCTTGCCAGATCTGCCAGTACCGCAGGGCCCGCTCCTGGACAACAGGGACGTCAACAACCCCACGCTGAGCCCAAACGACCCCAGGAGCGGACCAGGCAGGGGAGGACCGTCCGCTCAGCGACTGCTGGTGACCTACCTCCGTGACTTCCACCCTGGGCTGGACTACACCTGGAGACAGTTCTGTCTCACCAATCGCGACAGCAGCATCCCAAAACCTCGGTGTGATGAAGCCTCCTGGCCGGACGGACCTCTGACTGATTTCCTCAGGACGGTGTGCGGCGATTGCATCCCGGAGAATTGCGTTCCGCCCAACCAGCGCTGGGAGGGTAAGCGACTGGCCGCGGCGCGAGTCGTCGCCCACCTCACCAACGGCGAGAAGCATAGGGAGTCCTGGGTGAGGTGCGCCTCGATCTTGGCCCCGGCAAGCGGCCTTAGTCCCATCAGACGCGAAATGGGCACGCTGACGAGTTTCCTATTCAGCCTCAGTGCCGATGCCCTCGCCTCCACGTCCATCACTTCCTTGGCCGAATCGCACGTGCAGACCATGAGTGAGGACAGGCCCGGCACCCCTACGGCGGTCGAGACAGACAAGTCCCTGGGTGCGAGAGACGACGACTCGCGTCTGGGCCTCCCGGACCCGCCCGACCACACTGTCAAAGACGAGGGCGGTGAGGACGTGATCCCTTACGGAAAAGGTGGAGTCACCCGACTACGGAGAAGGCGAGCCCCCTCCTCCTGTCTCCTGCTCGGACTCGGCCACGGAGGTCGACGACAACGGCCCAGGCGACAGGGCGCCTCAGCGGAGCCCAACGGCAGACAGCTCTGAACCCAGCTCCGAACGTGTCCCGACCGCTGCCGGGGAAGGCCCGGCTAACGCCGACCATAACAACGGTGCAGCCAGGGGATCTGAGGACGATGAGAGCGCCCGCGACATGGGCGACGCGTGGACCGATCGGCCCCCGCTGCGTAACCCACAGTTCCCTGGACATAGACCTACCTACCCTCGCCATGCAGGTTCGTCGGAGCGCGATGCGCTCAACCTGTTGACTGACCCACATGGGGGTGGCCCCATGTACAAGGTCTGGCTGGGCACTGTGGATTTGGAGCGTCCCGACGAGCCACCCGCCAAACGCCTCGCCAGGTACCAGTCGGAGTTGGGTGCAGTTTTCTGCGCGCTGTGGACCGCTCACGCGCAGTGCATTTGGCTCCCTGGATCCAGGGAGCCCAAAGCAGACCCGAGACTGCACACGGAAACGACCATCAACAAGTTTCTCGATGACTGGAAGGGCTGCGGGTACAACGCCTACCTGATGGACACGAGGTACGGCTATCGCATTGACTGGGACAAACTGCGGGCCGACTACCTGCGACGCGCCCGACCCGACGGCAGGGGCAAAGGCAACCTCCAGCAGAGCAGCTGGCGAGACCGTGCGACAAGCTCCTGGGGCACCTGGGGTAACTGGCAGAGCGACTGGAGTGAAGGATGGCGCGACGATCGCTGGCAAACGGGTGGCAAGCGTGGTGGAGGCCGACCCGACGAGCGAGACGAAAAGAGACACCGATGGAGAGACTGAGCTCACTCCCCATACATCCAGCGTTTAGACAGCCCGAACGATAACCTCACTACACACTACGTGCAGCCTTCAGCCGCCTTCCCTTCTCTTTCAACCTTGTGGCAGCCCCGCTGCCCTCCTCCCTGGTCCGCGCACTTTCTGCCTTTGGACCCAAGTGTGCCGAGCAGTGATGCCATCTGCCTCGCTGCGTGGGGGAGCGCAGCTCGCAGACCCTAGCTGGCCCCTGGCCCCGCTGTAGTGTTTCTCACCAGTGGCCCGAATGGCCCTGTGCTCGGCTAAGCTGTTTGGGGCCGACCGTTGCCCACTCCTGAAGCGTGCTTGCACCCTGGGATTCTCTAATAGACAGCGGCCTTCAGCCGCGCTTTGGATTGCAGACCCAGCTTGCGGCTTTCTGCCGCCCCTCCTGGCACGCGCACTTCCTGCCTTTGGATACAAGTGTGTGTGCCAGCAATACCGTCCACACTGCAATCTCGTGTTGCGTGTGGCCATAGTGGCCCCTGGCCCCACTGTAGCTGTTTTCGCCCTGCCAGGCCAAGCCTGGCGCGCAGCCTGTGGTCGACCCGGCGGTTTTCGCCCGTCCCCAGACTTGCGCTACTCCCTGGATTTTCCAAGTTACTACGGCCTTCAGCCGTGCCTCCTGGGACTATGTGACTGTGAGGGGCGCGTCCTTGGGTATGCGACGGTCCTGTCCCTCGAGCGCTTCCACGCATGGGTGTGTGGGCTTCCTGGCGCTGGGTCACATAGTTGTTCGGTGCACTTCCATTCCCGAGCGACCTCGCGTTCTCACTGAGTGGCTCCGTGTACCCCTGCTGCGTCCAGACCAGATCGCTGGTCCTCTGAACGCAGGCGCATCTCTCAGCAGTGGACGGTTCTTGCCTTAGCCCTTTCGGCCCTAGGCTTCCATTTGCGTGGATGCGTGTTCTGATGCTGCGACGGTTCGCTGGCGCTGTCAGAGTACTCCTCCTGCTGGACGGCGTCACCAGTTTCAGTCTCCTCATACCCGTCAGACTCCCTGGACTGACTTTCTCGCACGGAGATACCCTACCGCGGTCGTCTCGACACGATCGCGACCTGGAACGCCCTGCGCGCCATTTTGGCCGCGCCTGGCTCACCCCGGTGGCTGACCTCTCAGACTCCCTGGGTTTGCCGCTTGCACGTTTGCCTCAGGTGGCTGTCCTTGCAGACTCCCTGGGATTGCACGACCGCCTGGCCTTTCAGACGCCCTGGGTTGCCGCTGCCTCGCCGCCTGATCCGCGGCTCCCGCGCGCGCCCGCAATTTAGTCGCGGCCGCAGCCCGACCGTGACTGCTCGCCGCCGGCGCTTCCGCCTGCGGCTGTTTAAAAAATATATTCCCACCAGCCCATCCAGAACCGACGCCCAGGCGAGTAGAGGTGATCATGGAAGCGGGGCAGCATACAGAGGAACAAAGGGCTGGGGAGGCCGTCGTACCCCAGGGGAGGGGGGGGGATGGAGGAGGAGTCGGAGGCGGAAGAGGAGGATGATGAGGGTGGGGAGGGAAGAATGAGGAGGAGGAGGAGGAGGAATAGGCGGATGATGATGTTGATGTTGATATTGATGATGCTGATGATGACGATGATGGTGGTGGTCTTGATGATGGTGATGGTGATGGTGATGGTGATTGTGATGGTGATGGTGATGATGTTGATGATGATGATGGTGGTGTTCATGAGGGGGAGGAGGAGGAGGATAAGGGCGATCAGAAGAGTCAAAGGCCTCTTGAATGACTTTCGGAGCCTCTTGGGATATCTCTTGGGCGCTTCTTGGAAGCATCTTGGGACGTCTGGGGGTTCTCTTGGCGGTCCTGGGGGGCTCTTGGGCGTCTTGAGTGCCTCGGGGGGGGCCTCTTGGGGACGCTTAGGGCCCTCTTGGGGGCCTCTTGAGGGCCTCTTGGGGCCATCTTGGGGCCATCTTGGAGCCATCTTGGCGCCACTTGGGGCCTCCTGGGTGCCTCTTGGGGCCATCTTGGAGGAGATCGATCAAAGAAGAGGGGTTCCCTGATTCGCGCCCCCCCTCGGGAACCTCCAGAATCGCCTCCTGGACCCCTCTTGGGGCGCTCTTGGAGCGCTCTTGGGCGCTCTTGGGGTCGTCTTGGGACCATCTTGGGCCCCTCTTGGGGCCCTCTTGGGCCCCCTTGGAACCATCGTGAGGCCTCGAATGGCCATCGGAAGCGAAACGGCGAGAAGGCAAACATCATGGGTTTTCCTTTGGTTTTTGAAGGATTTTGGCCTCTTGGAGGCCTCCTTGGGAGGCTATTTGGCCTCTTGGAGGCGTCTTGGGGCGGTCTTGAGGCCTCTTTGATCATCTTCGGAGCCATCTTGACGCATCTGAGGCTATCTTGAGCCATCTTGGAGGCCATCTTGGGCTCTCCGAGGCGCTCTTGGAGCCATCTTGGGCCATCTTGGACGCTCCGACCGCTCGCGGAACGCCCCGTCCAGGTCCAGGGGGAGGGGTAAACCTCTCCCCGAAGAGGAAGAAGGAGGTTGGAAGAGGAAACTCCCTAAACCACCTACGCCCAGAGGGCTGGTGGGATTCGACGGGGACGCGACACGTACCTTTTTGAGCTCAAGAAGTGCCTTCCTGTCGGGCGCGTACCGTACCTTTCGCGCTTCTTGACCAGACTGCGAGAGGCATGTCCACGATAAGCATGCCTCGGCAGCCAGCTCTGCGCCAACGCGCGGCAGAGCACGCCTGGACTGCTGCGTCCAAGAGCACGGCCACGTGCGACGAGCATGGCGCCGGTTTCGGATCTCACTTATGCCGCGAGTGGAGAGACGACACGGGCCAGACGTATCACATCAGATGCAGGACTACAGGAGCACGACGTGTGCTGGTCGGCACGCCACATCGCCCAGACGCAACCCAGCGTTGGACGTGCACTTTTAGGACAGAGGATGGTTGTCCTAAGACGTTCCTTCTGACGCCTGACGAGCCTTCTGGCAAGATGTGGTGGGGATTCGGGAAGTCGCTCTACTGCGTGATCGGCGAAGCGGCCCACAGCGGCCTCCTGAGATGGTACCGGCCTGGCGCCAGGATCGCATCCTCCGCGTGGAGGGCGAATCCGGTCGAAGAGAAGCGCACAGGACGCGTTCGACCAGTGCCCATCAGCTCGTCAGTGGGCCCTCGGTCCCTCGCCAGATCAGGCCGAACAGTGAAGCTGGAGGGTCGGCCTCAGCGTCGGCCGAAGGAGGTCAGCACGAGGCCATGCGATGAGCCGTGCGACGAGCCGTGCGAGAGGCTGGCTGGCAAGGCGGCCGAGAGCAGCAGCGGCGACGGCGAGAAGCGGGCGGCCGAGGACGAGGCGCTCGAAGCGGCAGCCGCGGATGCGCCCCTGGCGAGGCGGTGGCTCGAGCGGCGAAGGCGAGCAGAAGCGGCAGCCGTGGCTGCGCCTCCCGGGCCCGCTGACACTGACTGCTCTCGGGAGCACGGCCCCGTCGATGAGCCACGCTCTCGGGCGGAGCTGAGCGAGAAAGCGGCGGCCAAGGGCGAGGCGCTCGAAGCAGGAGATGCGTTCTTCAGCTCCGCTGGAACTGCCTGCTCTGAGGAGCGCGGCCCCGTCGGTGCGCCATGTTCGCGGGTGGAGCTTACCGCGGCGTTGAGGCATTTACTCGAGCACAGGACGAGCGCCATCATCGAGCTTCCCGAGGGCTTCCGGCCCCAGCCTGGCCTCGCGGCGCCCCCGGGCATGCCGCCATTGCCCCGCGCAGGCTCCGACTCCTCGTGCACCGACGAGGCTGCTGAGCCCCCTGGGCCGGCGGGCTGGCAGGAGCCCGCACAGGCGGCGCCAGCGGGCGGCACCAGGGAGCACCTCGAGGAGGAGCGCATCCAGGCCGCGCAGGAGCCGCGGAGCCCGCCCGCTGTCGACGCCAGGCAGCAGGGGTATCCCAGCTTGTGCTGCGGATCGGGCGGCAGCCGCACGGAGGAGGGCAGCCCGCTGCCAGTGGAGCCCGGGGCGCGGGGCGGAGTGATCCGGACGAGCGGGGCCATCCTCGAGCTTCCAGAGGGCTTTTGGCCCCCGCCTGGCCTCGCGGCGCCCCCGGGCATGCCGCCATGGGTTCGGCGTGGACCAGGCGCCGCCCCGGTTGACGAGACCCTCGCAGGCTCCGACTCCTCGTGCACCGACGAGGCTGCTGAGCCCCCTGGGCCGGCGGGCTGGCAGGAGCCCGCACAGGCGCGACCAGTTGTTACTGTGGCCCGTTGGGTGTTAATGTGGCTCGTTGGGTGTTAGTGTGGCCCGTCGCGCGGCCGGATGGGAGTTACTGTGGCCCGCGCAGGCCGCTCAACGAAAAATAGTATGTAAAGGTATCTCATGTTAGATCTGGAGAGATCCGCAACCCTTAAGGGAATGCACTCCCGCGCAGGCAAAAGTGGCCACAGTAACTCCCATCTGGAACCAACGTGGTAGTAGTGTTGTGTTAGTGGTGTGGTGGTCGCTGTACTGTGTTAGTGTTGTGGTGTTGGTAATGTTGTGTTAATGGTGTGGTGCTGGTAGTGGCTGGTTGTGCTGTATGCTGTGTTAGTGGTGTGGTGTTGGTAGTGGTGTGCTGTGTTAGTGGTGTGGTGTTGGTAGTGTTGTGTTAGTGTCGTGGCGTTGGTAGTGTTGTTGAGTTGTTAGTAGGTAGTAATGTTGTGGTAGTGGCAGTGATGCTGTGGTAGTGGTGTTGTGGTAGCGGTGTTGTGGTGTCGTGGTTGTGGTATTGTGGTAGCCGTGTTGTGGTGTTGTGGTAGCGGTGTTGTGGTGTTGTGGTATTGGTATGGTAGTGGTGCAGTAGTGTTGTTGTAGTACTATGGTGCTGTAGTGCTGGTGTTAGGTAATATCATTCATAAGGAGTGCTAGTCCTATGGCGTACTAGCTGCAGGGAGTGCTAGCCCCATGGAGTACCAGTCCTAGGAGTTACTACCCCTAGGGCGTACTCGTCCATGGGAGTACTCGTCCTAGGGAGTACTCGCACTACGGAGTACCGGCCCTAGGGAATACTAGTCCTAGGAAGTGCTACTCCGAGGGAGTGCCAGGAAGTACTGGCGCTAGGGAGTGCTAGCCCTAGGAAGTACTGGCGATAGGGAGTGCTAGCCCTTGGGCGCTGGGGACGACGAGAAGTAGTAGTAGTAGTAGTAGTAGTAGTAGTAGTAGCAGTAGTAGTAGTAGTAGTAGTAGTAGTAGTAGTAGTAGTAGTAGTAGTAGTAGTAGTAGTAGTAGTAGTAGTAGTAGTAGTAGTAGTAGTAGTAGTAGTAGTAGTAGTAGTAGTAGTAGTAGTAGTAGTAGTAGTAGTA